TTTTAATATGTCATGCAACTTCCGTGTAAGCACAGATTATGCTCAAGTTGCACTTACATTATTGCGCCGCCTTCTAAAATTCTCTTCGCTTTAGTCTGGACTCACCTTTACTGTTGTGACAGTTCAGGATAGTTAAAGAGGTGAGGGGATGTTTATGGTTAAAGTCAGGGATTTGATTGTCCTGCGGGTTGCCGTAGGAAGTGTACTACTCTGTGTGTGTGTGTGCTTTCATGTGTGTCAGAAAGCAGAACTGTCACTTCCTCCGGGTTTTGCGAGGTCCCAGCTGAATATGAAAACCCACAATTTCACTTTACTTTATGATCTCCCTTGTGGTTTGTGGTTGAGCACCCAATGGACCTTGGGATTCAGACTGCAGCTAATGATTATTTTATTCCCTCAGTTCTCTACATATTTTAGTGCTCAGCTGGTTACCACTAATTAATAATTAAAGATGGAGACTGTACAAGACTGACATTGTATTTGAAGTCCTAAAGCCTCATTCAGGCACTGAAGCACCACCTCAGACCTTGAACAGGGATTGAGAGATATCCACTGAATAGGGCTTAAAGAACCACTCTCTATATTCTCTGAGGGAAGTGGAAACTACACTGTGATAATGACACAGAAAAAATTGTAAGCACAGTCGTGAGCATCAGTCACAGCAGCAGTACCTCCATACAGCTCTCTATTAATCAGCAGCTAATCAGCTAAGCCAGGAATTCATAGGCTTATTAAACATGCTTAAGAGAACGCCTTGCCACTTAATCCTTTACCCCAGGGAGTCTTTTTCAAGTTACTGTGCAAGCAGATTTCTGCTTTATTCTATTGTTATTGGGCTTTGTAGCATTAGTTTGCCTTTTTACTTAAAGAGAAAATCCATTGTACAGTGGGATTAATGCTATTTCTGCAATAGTGTACTGCTCCACTGAGCCAACCATGTCTGGAAAAGAAAGTCAGCAGTTATGCTTTGATGGACAGGAAGTACAGTAGTGTTGCGAAATGAGGGTTTTCTTTGATTTCTACTGGTAGCACTGACTCGTAACTCATCGCTTACCGCAGCTACTTCTCATCCGTTTACTGTAAAAAGCCAATATAGGATATTTTGAGTCTGCTCATTTATTTTGTCATTATACAGCCCAAAGTTGCACAACGAAAACAAAGTCGTAGTCCCTCATGCTTCCTCGTTCTCAGTTTATTACAATCTTATTTTCATACTTTTGGCTGTCATTTCTCTTAGTCCTAATAACACTGTACTCGCCAAGTTAATTGCTGCGATCTGGGAACACAGTTACATTCCTACTACAAAATCTGACGGGAAAGAAACTTGAGCAGTCAGATAAGTTTCACATGTTCTAAGTAGCCAACAGTTTAGCTAGATTATCTAGAAAACTTTATTTAGTGGATAATAGCAAAAGTGAGTGCACCTAAAATGGTGAAATAATTGCTCATTGCTCAGAAAACTGTGTGCAAACAACTGTGATAAATCCAGTATATTAAAGTTGAATCAATCAAGACATTTTGGGAAATAATTATATCATTCATCTTCAATTTCTCTTCCAAATAAGTTCAGAGGAGTCACCATGTTACAGTTTCATCAAAAAAACTACAGAGTCATTATTACAAAACTACAAGAATAATACCCAAATGGTAATAAAGATCCTTTTAAGTAGCACATTGTCTTTGTCTTTGTTGTGATTTCTTTCTTGCCTTTTCTTGTTATATATTAAAAGTAATTACTATAAAGTCGGGAAACCCTGTTCAGATCTTCATGTAGCTGGAAATTGAGATACAGAAAGTGAATAGAAATGCAGTGAAATTGGGAAAAGCATTGTACTATTAATGCTGTTCCCTTGTCACTGCCATTTAAGCAAAGCCTTGTGTCTGAAGGTGAATATGTACAATACTGATACTCTTTAACTTCTCTGTGGCCCATTTGACTCAGGTTTATGATACTGGATCTTTTTCCCTCTCTTCCAGTGACAGTCCACCTCATGTCCCTGCAGAGGAGCTCTCTACAGACTTAGTGATCCAGGTGATCAGCAATATGACCCAGACCATCAGACAGCACTTCCCCAACCTGACAGTCTACCCTGCCCTGGGAAACCATGACTACTGGCCTCAGGTAACGTCACAGGACGACAAGCAGAAGAAGCTTTGCTCAGAGAATAAAAGGGTGATGTTTACAGGACAAATGATGATAGCATGTAGCATCACATGAGTTTTCACTCTGTTCCGGCAAGCTTGTACAGAAGTGAGTGAGGGAGGGAAGCTTTTCTGATACAGAATCTAAAATGAATTTGATCAAGGAAATTATTTATAGTACAATGTATATCTGTTTTGTTCAGGTAGAAAAGCATCTAAAGGCAGAATTTTATTATATGACAAATGACTGAGCCTCAGTAATGACTGTGGATAAGAACTGACATCAACTAGAGCTGCAGTGATTATAGTACCAAGTAAAATAATAGCAACTATTTTGATAATCGATAAATCGTTAAAATGTCAGAAAAATGCTGTTTTCAGCCTCTCAAATATGGAGTTCTGCTTTTCTCTGTTTTATATCTTTGGGTTTTGGACTGACAAAACAAGCCATTTCAAGATTTCACCTCAGACTTTGCAAAACTGGGATGGACATTTTTCACTATTTTCTAACATTTTATGGACGAAACAATCAATAGATTAATCTTGAACATAATTTGCAGTCGATAATGAAAATGATAGATAGTTGCAGCCCTAACATACACATCATGTGATGCCAATATTTGCAAACTGATATCAATCAAACCCTAATATCTGAAGAAAGGAAATAACAATTATAGCAATTTATTTTATTATAACTGCCATTGTATGTGAGACTGCATCTCATGTTGCCATGTAACATGCTGTTTGTATCGTTGTTAGGACCAGATGACGGCCTCCACTAATGCCATCTACAAAGCTGCTGCCCAGCTGTGGAAACCGTGGTTGCAGCCTGAAGCTCTGCTCACACTCTCACAAGGTGACGTGTTAGTGCATCAACTACTCTGAGTTTGGTTCTTTCAGATATGTGCAGACGTACAGCGTTAATACGTAAATATATTAAAACACAGAGAATTAAGGGTTTCATTACACTGCCGGCCCTTTCATATCATTCTCTCAGTCATTGGTATTTGGATTAAATACAAATAGAAATGTACAGTAATGTCAACGTCGCATTTGCATATTGAAATGTTCCTGCAGGTGGTTTCTACTCCCAGCTGGTAAAACCTGGTTTGCGGGTGGTTAGTCTCAACACCATCCTCTACTACGGTCCTGATAAAGTCACGAGTAACATGACAGACCCTGCTGGACAGTTCAAGTGGCTGGAGAAAACTCTGGGGAAAGCTTCTGAGAGCCTGGAGAAGGTCGAACAGTTTCTGTCTTTATGTCTCGAACCCTGACCTTTGACCTGTCTTACAGTTCAATACATCTTTGTCAAATAATCTATCATACCTTAAATGTGGCTTACTTCTTTCTCCAGGTGTACATCATAGCTCATGTACCAGTGGGGTACCTGCCCTTTGCCAGAAACATCACTGCTATAAGAGAGAGCCACAACGAGAGGCTGGTTGCCATCTGCAGAGAGTACAGTCACGTCATTGCCGGACATTTCTATGGCCACACCCACCGTGACAGCATCATGGTGCTGTTGGACCAACAAGGTTAAAAAAAAAAGTACAAATATAAGGTTAAAGATGTTTTCTATTGATGAAGTGGACCTTGATTTCACCGCCTCAAATAGGACTCAGCACTTCCAAACGTAGATGTAATATATTTTTTCCTCATGCTATGTTTTTCGTTATACTCACAGCAAAGGTTAACCATGTTAACCATTAATAGCATGTTCCTGCTGCGGCCCATGTGAAGAGTTTTCATCTATGTATAAAAGCAAATCTGCAAGAGTGCAGGACGCCACAGAAATGAAGATAGATTTACATCCTACATAGAAAGTTTGAAAGCCAAAGCTTTGATATTCATTCTGTTAAAGGGAAAAGCTCTGTGCAGTAACCACATTTACTTTAAAGCACTGACCATCCTTACCTTTTTGATAATTAATTCCAGACTGGAAACTAATCTAACTAGTCAAGTGCATATTACCTTTTCCCTGATGTGGGCTTCAGTATGACTGCAGCTTTGAGAAATTGTGTGAAGCATCCAGTGTACGAGGAATGATAAGAAAACAAATAGATCTGCAGATGAGGATCGCGGACAGAAGCTTACAACCTGAGTGCATTCCCTGTTTTGTGCAACTGATTTATATTGTATTTGTGTTTGGCTTTCTCGTTCTCCAGGTAAACCAGTGAATTCTCTGTTTGTGTCACCGGCTGTTACACCGATCAAACATGTTTTGGAGCCCTACTCTAACAACCCAGCTTTCCGCATGTACTTGTACAGCAGTAAGGACTACACTATGTTGGTAAGAAGCTCTGTGCTGCACAACCAGATCAATTTATTGGAGGCCAAACCAGCCCAGAATATAACAAAAACTGCACCAAAAGTACACAAAAATATGTGAAACAATGTCCAAATACTTGAGGCCACTCTATTGGATGTGGCAGACAATATATCATAAATGCATCTCTCATATATTACATATAGTGAATCGATAAATCATAAAGCAGATGGTATAATCTTGAAATCACACCTAGCAAATAAAATCTGGATGTTTGATACATTCAATCTGACAAGTTTGACAAACATGGAGCTTTACAATCGATGCAGACCTGCTGTAGTGAGATCCCTGATTTTTATTTCACACGAAAACCTTCAAAAAAGTTTGAAGCAATTCAGAGGAGAGCTGAGAACTGCTTGATTTAGCAAACATATTGACAACTTTAGGTCAAACTGAAACTGTCCTGCACTGAAATTACCTACTCTAACTTGTATCTCTCTGACAAAGACAGAAGAAAGAAGTCCCTCTTGATGATTAATCATGGTGCCAATCAGCACACAAAAACAGTTTCTGGCTTTTATAAAGACTCCTTTCTCCTCTCTCTCTTTCTCTGGGCTTCTCTCTCTCTCTCTTTCTCCCCCTCAAGGATATCTGGCAGTACTATTTGAATCTGACGGAAGCCAACGAGAAACAAAGATCTGACTGGAGGCTTGAATATATCATGACTGAAGCTTTTGGACTTACTGACCTGCTGCCACAAAGCCTGCTCCAGCTGGGCCTGAGCTTCAGGCTGCCGCAGACCAAAGCCTTTGACAAGTATTTCAGTCACTACATGGTCAGCTACAACAGCAGCATCATCTGTGGGGGAGACTGTAAGGTCAGCCAGGTGTGTGCCGTGCTCTACCTGGACCAGCTGTCCTACTCCAAATGTGTTGCAAAAGGAGAATGGTAGCGGATAGAAACTGAAGGATTGTCATGGGATTTGTTTCAAGACTCACATTTAGTTTTTGATTTTAGTTTAAAATCTAGTTATTTTTTTACTCTGCTAGAATCATGAAAAGGAGAATGCCATGCACTGGATCTGCTCCTCCCTAATATTCATCCAACTATTTTACCTTTTATGGTTTTTTTTACAAGTTTTACAAATTGCACAGCTCCACAGTAAATCAGTAGTTTAATATACTGATGCAATGTGAAAAATATTAGAAATACTTTGATAATACTGAATTGCAGCCTTCAAAGTGTAAAAAAGGCCTCTCATTTGTCATCTTACTCCTCTTCCTCTTAGTTTTACTTCAAGGGAGAATGGTGGCATGAATGTGGATGGAAGGATTTATCTATCTCAGGAATCTCATTTAGCTTTTGATTTTTAAATGATTTTTTATTTTTTGTACTTAATGAGAAAAATCATGAAAAAGGGTATGCCATGGTGCACATGGATGAAAATGTAGGATTCTTGAGGGATTTGTCTCAGGAGTCACATTCATTTTTTTATTTTTCAAATGATATATTTTGTTACCTAAAGGATGGAGTTATGAAAAGGGAAATGGCACACAGTGCTTCTGCTGCGCCCAAATATTTATCTGGGAAAAGAAAACGCAATATAACAATTTTAAATTTTTTTCCAAGATGATTTTTCATCAGGTGATATTAGATATTTTAGTTTTTGGTATGGAAACTTTGCACTCCAGACCTCAAATAGCAGTAGTTGTAGTAGCTGTTCAGAATGAGTTGGATCTTCTTAGTCCATCGCGCAAGTTGTATCCCTTCTTGCACTAATGGATTATACCTAATCTGTGGAATGATCCAATTGCTGCCAAATGGGACCATAACTTGAGCTGATGGTGTTGATTAATCATGAACACTAGTCAGTATTCCAGTCACAGTGAAGTGGCAGTCTTTATCTTCTGTAATGTGACATATTTCTGAGTGAACCAGTTCTTTTAGATTTGATTTGTGCCATTTAAAACATGACTATGCCAATTATATACAGTTTATCACATAGTTGAAACATGTTTGTTAAATATAAAATTCCAAGTATGAGATGTGAACTGTTCCAGGAATACATTTAATTTGTGTAAAATGTGTGTGAATGATAACTTTGGTGATTTGAGTGACCTTACCAGTGCTGTGACATAAAGATGAAATATGAATAGGGAACACAATGTTACATATCACTTATTTTTCTACTAAATAAAGATCTTTATTCAAAGAATGTGTTTAAACCACCTCCTCTGTTTCACAAATAGGTCATTAGAGCAAGCGTGTTATGGATGATAGAAAAAAGAAACTTAACTGCAGGGCTGTAAGAGTTGCTAACTTGAAAGTCACAGTGAAAACTTGTGCAGGCTAGTTTGTCTCTGCAGGGGAGGCAAAGGAACAGCGACTAACCTCGTCTGACCCCCTCACTTCAATTTCACCCTCCTCCCACCATCAGCCCCCTGGTCTTATTCATCTCCTGTTCAAACTTTCCAGAAACTCCTCTCTGTTTCTCAGCCACCACCTTAAGCATTTGCCCCTCTACCCCCATCCCCTTCCACCCTCCCAACTCCTTTGTCCCCTTGCCTCCCTCCCCAAATGTTGATTACACCTCCTCTTAAAGCCCTACTGGCAGCTTTTTGTTTTTTTGCTTTAATAAAATTCTGGCACTAGTATAAGCAAGTTCTCTAGACACATTCCCTTAAAAGTAAACTTATTTTGTTTTTCTCATCGCTGTATTTTTTGTGAACAACTGAATCACTGTTGCTCTTCAGGACTCTAAAAGTCATTCACACGAACCAAACTTGAAAGGAATGATTACTTTTTGGTTGAAGACGTCACAACCCAAGTATCTATTCATAAGGAATCACAAGCCAAAACAGTTGGGAAACAATGTGTTAGAGAAGGAGTGATTTCCAAAAGTTTAATGATAATTTTAAGTAAGTTTATATTATTCAAACTTTCGATGGAGAAAAGAAAGAGAGCCTCGAGCTGTGAATCTTTGTGTGTGTGTGTTTGTTAAAATCGTTCCCCTCATGTGCCCCCATTGCCATTATTATTCCCGACTAGCCTTCCTCCACTCGGTGCCTAACAGAACGTAACCGTGGAGACAGAGTTGGTGGTGAGCGTGGCGAAGGAGAGGACTCCATTGCCACGGTAACGGCAGTAGAGCTCCCAGTCCTCTGAATCCATCTCTGAGCTCACTGTTAGCTGCTGTTATTTAACCACTGACCTGCCAATCAGATGCAGCAAATAACGCTCTGTGTGTTTGTATGAGAGCGAGATCCTTACCCCAACACCACTGACTCCACTTCAACCAAACTACATTTAAATTGCAAGCTCTTTTATATGTGCTATTATAGTAATGAATGACCACGCAGTTTCTGAAAGGTATTACCATTTTTTTTTTATCATGGCCAGATACACTTTTTTTGAGATGTGCCAGTTTTGCCAGTGTGTCTGGATCTGAACAAAAAATTGAATCATTTATCATGTTCCTGAAACCTGCTGGAAGTTAATATTTCACAAGTTAGACTGGAGCTGGTTGGCAAACGTGATGCCGAACCATGAAAGAGGTTTGCTCAGAAAATTACAGTGGTGAAAAAAGTAGTCAGAACCTTCACTTGAAGTTTAAAAGTAAGCATTACAACAATGTAAAAAATACTCCATTACAAAGTATCACAAAGTACAGACATATAAACAGCAATATATCCCAATGAAATAAAGTAGAAAACTAAGGAGACAGTTCCTGAAGGGTCAGACAGAGGAGATCCAATGGCTGAAAACCTTTAGAAACATTACTATAAGCTGGTTGGCTGGCTGCTAGTCTGTCTGTCTACCTAAATGACTGGCTGGTTCTCTTTCTGTCTGGCTGACTGTCGAACTGACTGTTGGCTGACTGGGGGTGCCCCACAACCAGTTAATCTGAGGATTACTGTCAGGACAGTATAGCCATCCAAAGGCCCTCTCCTGGGGAGCTGGAATCTGTGTGTGTGTGTGTGTGTGTGTGTGTGCCATTACCCTTCAAGCTTCCAGCTCCCCTAATCCTCTTTAACATCTTCAGTTTTTAAACACTGTTCCAGTCTTATGTTTTAAACATCAGTGGTCTCCTATTTAAATAGTTTAATTCCTGCAGTTTTTCGAGTTATACTTTAGCCCTGAACTGCTGATATCAGGTGGCATCTAACTGACTTCATCTGTCACTCTCACTGTATCTCTCAGTTACTCAGGAGGATGAAGGGAGCGATATTATATGAATATATTTTATATTCATGAAATGTCTCCCTGCCTACCCATGAATTTAGGCACTTTAAAGGAAGTATATGCAGCAAAAATGTCTTGAGCCTGAGTACATTGGAGCCTTTTCACAGCACAAGAGCTTTAAGTAACAATTTGCTAATTAGATGGGTGAACAGCACCCAATAATCATTACCATTGAGGGTAAACCTAAAGTCAGAGATTTTATTTAGATGTCTAGATTATATTTAACTGTCTTCAATGACCTTTGTTGAATTCCAATACCACCTCTATAACCTGTGGGTCCTCTTCTACAGAGGCTG